GGTATTATCACAATAATATCATCTTCTGCTATACCACCCCAATGTTTAGTTGTTTATTCTCATACTCCCAAATGTGTAAGTTGAATGAGGAATGGTTAGTGTAGCTTAGTCTTTCCTGGACAGTTCAGCTTCAAACATCAGACCCAGTTTGGCCTTAGACAGTTTGGCTTTAGGACTGGACCACTTCTCTTTCACTCTCTTTGGACCAGATGTGTACCCCCCCCCTCTTTTAATGACAAGTTTATAAAACGAGCAAGCAGAATGCCTGCAATTTATTGGCAAAGCTAATCACACAACGAAACTCAAGAATAATAAAATGGGAGCAAGTACTTTGTCCCCAGTGAAGTTGCAGAATTAGCATTGGTGGTAGAGGGCATGGGTACCAGGAGGAGTGAAGAGTTCAATGCATGAAAGCAATCACTGGAGCTGGAAGAGGGAAGGGACAGCCCTTCTGCAGAGAATGACTCAAGAATGTGGCACTGGTCAGCTGGGACTGCCGTAATGTGGCTGCGATGCTCACACAGCAGAAATGTGTTTTCTCAGGGCTGAGGAGGCTGGTAGTCTGTGATCCGAGTTTGGTAGATGTGTTTTCTATATCAAGACCTTCTTGGTTTGCAGACAGCTGCTTTCTCATTGTGTCCTTATATCCTCATCCGATTCTATACCTCATAAGGATATCAGTCATATTGGATTGCCTCTCCTGGTCCCTACCCCATCCATAATGACATAATTTCAACTCAATCTCCTCTCTGAAAACTCCAAATACTTGTACGGTACAGGGGGACAGGTCCATATATGAATGTGGGGATTGGGTTTATGAAAAGAATTATCTTCTAAGCAGATCAAAGTACTTTAGTGATTTGGTTATTACAAGATGAGGAATTTTGGAACAACGGAGGCAGCTGGTAGGTAAATGTGAGCACTTGAGAGAGATAAAATGCTGTGGAATAGAGATGGGCAGGCTATCTTGTGACAAATGCCTGGGATTTTCCACTGATTGTACCCACCTGAGGTGTCTATCATGGAAATTGATCAAGGGACACATAGTGGAGATCAACCCGCTTAGTACATGGGATCTGCTGCAGTTCTAATGCCATTGACTTCAAAATCAGTCCAAGTTATGCCAAATTATGATTGCCTTGTCTGGGTCTGTCAGAAGCAAAAATGATCATCCTGCAGTAGACTTTGTCATTCTGAGAGGAGATGGTTCCTTTTGCAGCAGGAGAATTGCTCTGCGCCTATGAAGTCCTGATGGCTTCAATCTTCATAAAATAATAAAATGTAAAAACACCAGCAGGGGAGGCTTTATCATTTAAGTTAGCAGACCAATAACTTAAACTTTATCAAGACCATCAAAAGAGAGATGAACATATTAATGTAATTAGTAATATGTTTTATTGTGCACTTAGATGAGATTTCATCTTCATGGTTTAAAGATGATAGCTCCATATTTTTAAGAGAGAGACTCCTTTCAGTGGTTGAGGGGGTAGTAACGGATTTTCTATTGGAAGGTGACCATTTCCCTGATCCATTGATTCTGAACTTTTTGTTGCATTGGGGCTCCTTTCTTTTTTTTCTTGTTCTTAAGCACATAGGGCTTTTTAATTCTTGGAACTTCTGAGTTAAAGGAGTGCAGAGTGTAGAGACAACAGCAAGATCCTAATTCATAAAGTAAATGTATATTCATTTTTATTGTTATCCAAGGAAGTCTCTATTTCTGAGGGACTTTAGAGAAAGGCAAGAAAGCCTCAGAAACAGTGTTGATTTTAAGCAAATTTCACAAATGTCTAATGAAAATGAGTTAATTATATTAGAAAATGTGTTGAAATAATGCTTTGCAACCTAGAGGTATGTTGTACATCAACCATGTGTGCAGTGTATGGCAGACAAAGGTGACTTGCTTTATAAGTTCACTTTGTTTTTCTTTGTATGGACTCCTGTTGTTATGGATGTGGTTTTTCTGGCGCTATTTATATAAATAATCTATGTCCATCTCCTGGTAAGAAAAACCTTTTTTAAATAGTTGCTGGGCATGTTTGAGCTATATCAAATTAGATAGGATTTTCTTAACAAATAGATATCAGGGCTGGTGCCATGGCATAGTAGGCTATGACTCCTTGTGGCACTGGCATCACAGATGGGTGCCAGTTTGTATCCTGGATGCTCTGCCTTTGAGCCAGCATCCATCCTGCTTATGTTCTGGGAAAGCAGCACAGTATGGCTTAGATTCTTGGGCCCCTGCACCCACATGGGAGACCCAAAAGAAGCTCCTGGCTCCTGGCTTTGGATCAGGTCAGCCCTACCTGTTGTGGTCAGTTGGGGTGTAAACCAACAGATGGAAGATCTCTGTCTCTCATTCTCTCTGTAGATCTGCCTTTAAAATAAAAATGAAAAAAATTTTAAACACACACACACACACACACACACACACACACAGGTACCAAAAACAGACACAGACAGCAGGCTTTTTCCCCCATTTAGTCTAGTAGCCTCAGCTCTATTTCACGTATAATTTGTGCTTTTCTTTCTATCCTAAGCTCCCTGATTCCAAGTTGTTCTGTTGGGGGAAAAACTCAAAAAAAGCATTTATTTGTTCATCCATCAAACTGACTTATATATGTTTTTGGGTTGTCTTTCAAATGACCTTTCTGATGGCTCCTTGATATATACTGAAATTTTTGATAGACATTGTCCATTTGCTTTCTATCAAAGTCATAGCCTTGTGAATTCCCCTTACTGTTGCCACTTGCTAGCAAGGCCTGAAAGTCCCTATGTGAGCTGTTTATAGTGGGAAGTGCATTACTTCAGAAACCTAGTCTTTGTAGTTAAAGTGCTCAAAACTCAAAGTACTTTAAGAGTTCTGTTTGCTTTGACCATCTTCTTGTGGTACAGCTCCAAGTAGCATTGGCTGAACTTTCTGTTGAGTACATCTTAATCTTTTTCTTATATGTCTTCTTAATTGTAACGTATGGCATATACACAGGAAAGGGCATATAATAAGATTGCACAGCTTAATAAATTATTGTGAAATGAACACACAGGAATCATAACCAGGTCAAGAAGTAGAGTATTTACAGTCTTCTACAAAGCCCTTCTTACATTCCTTCCTTTCCCACAAAGCAGTCATTACCCTGATTTTTATAGTATTCCATTCTGGGTGTTCTTTATACTCTGACCTCCTATGTCTGCAACCTTAAATATTCTAGTTTAGTTTTGCCTGATTTTGAGCTTTGTATAGATAAGATTATGTTATCATTTTATATGCTTTTGTGTCTTACTCAGATTTTGTTGGTGAACTGTATTCATGTTAATGCCTATAGTCATAATTCATTTTTATTTAGTTTAACTTTTGTTATTCCATTGTATGGATATACTATAATTTACCCTTCTATTCTTAATGGACTTGTGAGCTGTTTATAAGTAGTGCTGCTATGAACATTTTGCCACATGTCTCTTGTGCACACATTTTACTTTGTCTAAATGCAGAATGGAAATTTTCGAATTATATGTATGTCTTTGTTCAGTCCTAGTTGGCTTGGGTTGTGTTATGAAAATGATGAGAAAACCTATGCATTTCATAGGTTTCATTTTCTGATTTTATTTTCAAACTCCATTTGAAAGAAAATTTGGAGGCTGTATCACAACTGACGTTGTGGGTTAAGCTGCTGTTTGGGATGCCCACAATTCACATCAGAATACTGGTTTGAATCTTGGTGGTTCTGCTGCCAATCCAGTTCAGACACCAATGTGTCTGGGCAATGGTAGATAAGGGCACAAGTACTTGAGTCCCTGCCACGCACATGAGAGACCTCGTTGGAATTCCTTGCTCTTGGATTTGGCTTGGCCCAGCCTTGGCTGTTGTCACCATTTGGGGAGTGAGCCAATATATGGAAGATCAATGTTTCTCTCTCTCTCTCTCCCTCTCCCCTCCCTGTCTTGCCTCTTCCCCATTCTCTCCTTCATTCTTGTTTTCATTCCTCGTTACTTGTCTCTGCTTTTCTGTCTTCCAAATAGAAATATAGATATAACCTGATTTTGAGATATATACATATATATATGTGTAGTATATAACCTGGTTTGTTAAATCTTGTGTCAGACTTTTGTTCTGCACTTGAGTAGATGTACATTGTAAGTTTTGTAAGCAAGCTTTCTGACTGTGGGTTGTGGCTCAGAGGACACAAGAAGATGAATTCTTATGCCTCCTAGACATCTAAAATGGGAATTAGCAAACTAAAGCTCCACAGACAATTGTTATAAAGTTGTATTGGATCACAGTCAGGCCCATTCACTTAAACATAGTTGTGGTTGCTTTTGGTCTGCAGTTCTAGAGCTGAGTTACTGTGGCAGGGACTGTGCAGCTCTTGAAGCCCAAAATATTTACCATCTGGCTAGATTCATTGCCACCAGGTTACTACCAGTAGGGTGGTTTCAAACAACACAAAGTTGTTATGGCACAATTCTGTAGGTTAGAAATATGTTACAGGGAATTAAAGACAAGGTATTGGCCGAGTTGGCTGTCCTTTCTGGTAATTGCAGGGGAGAAGCTGTTCCCTTGTGATTTCCAGCTTCTGGAGGACACCCACATTGGCTTACGTCTGCTCCTCCATCTTCAAAGCCAGCAGATTTGCAACTCTATGACTATTCTAACACAGCTGTTGCTCCCTCTGGCCACTGCTGGGAATGCTTGTCTGAATTTAAAGACTGCTATAATTAGCTTAAGCTCACTGTCTGAAGTTCCTTACCTTAACTACATTTCCATGCTCCCCGCCCCCACCCTAGCCCACCACCCTTTTGGACATATTCATAGTTAAAGTGGTGTATCCACAGGCTCTCTAAGGGTTAGGATGTCAACATCTTGGGTGCTATTATTCTGCCTAACACATCAGCCCTGTATGGAAAATTTGTTGATTCCTGATCAAAAACAAAACGTTGAAGACCTGGTTGGAATCTAATGCTCTCTCATAGGAATATAGTTTTCTATTTAAGAACTTGGCATTTCTCAGGAAGCCTCCAGCATGCTGGGACCTGCTGTGGCCTAGTGCATTTTTGCAGTCCTTGCCAGGGCAATTCAGAATGGTTTGAGGCCTTGCCATGTTCCATCCAGAGTGAGGTTATAGAACTTTCAGGTAGTCGCCTGCTCTTTCCCTGGGTCTCTTGCTGGGTGCACTGTCAGATGTAGCACACAGCATTAAAACCAAGTTCTCATTCACGACAGCCAGTATTGAGGATCCAGAAAGCTCTCGGTTGCTTCCTTAGCTGTGAGGAGAGTCATCTCCAACATTTGCAGCAGCTCTGCTCTGAGTCACCACCCCAGCGTGTGTGACAAGGTGCCATTCCTCAGGGTCCAGCAGTGACCATCAGGATGCCAGAGCTGGGAAAGACAATTCCATGGAGCCTGTGCATGGGCAGGCCTCCGGGGTGTATGTAAACCTCATAGTCCAGGGTGCAGACACTCAGGCCAAGATGTGCTTGTGGTGACACAGCTGGTGGGGTGTTTGTCCTAGGCCTTGTTTCACCCAAGGGATGGCACTATGTCCTCTACGTGCAGAACCAACAAGCCTGTCCAGACTCAGGCCCTCTCATGGATGAACAGGAAGATTTAATATTTAATAAAAATAGTTTTTAAAGGGTGAAAAAAAGAACTTGGTATTTCTGCAATCTCTAAGTCATTTCAACAAATGAGACAAGTGACATGGCTATATAATTGACATTTCACCACTGTGGAGAAATTAAAATATGGAACAATTCCTTGATGATACTTTTGCAAAATTCTTTGCCTTGTCTGACTTTCCTAATGGACTTAAAATTTTCTTTTAAGTATCAAATTCAGTCACACTCTCTCCCAGAAGACTAGCGAATCCTTGCTCACCTTTTACTCTCCTGACAGGCATTAGCATTTTCCAGCTTGGCCAAAAATGACCTTACCAACGTCACAACATAGCCTGTTAAATATGATTGCTGATATAAAGAAATCAAGAGCTATATTCTCCAAACTTACTGAACATATTAATAGTCTGCCAACCTATTTTCTAGAGCATTTCCTTAGAAAAATAAATATTTAGGAAGCACTGTTTGTCTCTCCTTTCACTCTCGGTTTCAGCAATCTTATGTGATAGTCATTGTACATCTTCAATTCTGAATTCCAAAATAATATGCCTGCCATTATGATTGACCCTAACTGTAGTCCTTTATTTTCAGAGCTCAAATTGGTATTTTGTCCACCTTTCTCTAGTCTTGTAGCACTTTAAGCTGAGAACTCATTCAACTCCTGCTAAGTGTTTTCTGAAAGCTCTTTTCTTTCCTCATGCTCTCAAGCGGCACGGGTTGAAGGGCTTGTGGGCTCACCTCGAATGGAGCTGATTTTGCTTCCTTCGCCCTCTTCTTGAGGGGTTAGTTATAAATCCCAAAGGAAAATGAAATTATTCTAATATTTTAACCACCTATTTATGTATACAATAGGGATAGACAATATATTCTACAGCAAGTGTTTGAAAGACACAAACCAGATTTCATGTTCTGTGTATGTTTTTACAGGTATCTTAAGTGAATTTTCAATTAAAACTATAAAACAAATTATTTCCTATTATTATATACAGTTACATAGACATATCTTGAACTTAATTATTTAAATATATGTAATGTAAAAATTTCTTAATGCAAATTCCATACTGTGATGGAATCTTGTTCTCCTTCACAACAACTCAAAAAATGTGTTTAACTAAGAAATCTCAACCCCAGAAAAAGCCACTTGTGTAGAGCCAAAAGACATACCTCCAGGCTTATTTTAGTTTTAATATTTTGGCTATAAGTGGAGAAGGCACACATAATAGGTCTGAACATGACCTGAGACTGGGGGTCTGAACTTGAGACTGGAATTGGAGGAGGTTCAGCTGAGGCACTGTTCCTTTAAATGGCTGGACCCAGGCCAAAGGGCCATCACCACACAAAATGGCAAGTTGCTGTGGCAGAGAGAAAAGGGACTGTGGCACAGCATGCAATTACTCCTGAAGCTTATACTCAAAGTGCTGCACACCCCTTCTGTCCACAGTCTGCCAAGTAAAGTAAATCCCGTGGCCAACCATGCCAGGGATGCAGTGTTGAACTGAATTTGAATGAGCATTATCTTGTCATTTGAATAAAGCCCTTCTTCTGTCCATGGTCCTTGGGACCCTCCACAATCTGGCCTTTATTTGTCACTCCAGTTACATCTCTGGCTGCCCTTTTTGGCCTCACTTGGATTTAGGCATGCTCACCTTTTCTAAAACACATAAAACACCCTATGCTCTTTTCTGACAGAGGGTCTTCCCACTTTATTTCCCTGCCCGCTAGAATGTCTTTCCTTGCCCCTTTGTCTTCTTTAGCTTTCACATAGTTCCATCACCTGGGTTCAGCTTCAATATCATTTGTATGTGAAACTCCCCCTGCCAGCTACTCATTCTAAACTAATTCTGAGCTACCCATAGCTTATTTTTTTCTTATAGTACCCACCTGTTTTATTTTTAGCACTAAGCATGCACTGTAATTATTATTTATTTGCTGATTGTTTGATTCAGTCCAAAGAGAAGCGCCATGTGGGCATAAAACTTGTCCATCATATTCACTGCTAAATCCTTAGCACCTTGTACACATTAAGTGTTTAATATGTGCTTAATAGGGTTAGTGTGGTGGTATAACATATCAGGCTTCCACCTGCAATGCCAGCATGCTATATCAGCAATGGTTCAATGCCTGGATGCTCCACTTTTGATCCAACTCCCTACTAAAGCATCTGGAAAAATAGAAGAGGATGATCCGAGTCCTTGGGCCCCTGGCTCCACATGGGAGACCTGGATGAAGCTCCTGGCTCCTGGCTTTGGCCTGGCCTAGCCCCAGCCATTGTAGCCCTTTGGGGAGTGAACCAGTGATGAGAAATCTTTTTTTTCTGTGTGTATGCATTTGTGTGTGTGTGTCCTTCTGTGCCCCTGCCTTTCAAATAAAATGCATGCTTGTTGAATGAACAAGTTCAAATATATACCAGAAAGGAGATAGTAATATAACAAATGCTGATTACCCATTACTGAGCTTTTTCAATGTTCAACATGTGACCAATCTTGTTTCATCTCAATTCCCACCATCTTCTCCCTTTCTGAGTTGTTTTAAAGCAACCCGAAACATTATCAATTTATCTATGAATAAGATATATTTTAGTGTGTATCACTATAAGACAAAGATTCCTTAAAAGTGAACAAAATATCACGATCACATCTTCAGATACTAACAGTGTGAACATAAAGCATGCTTGAATAGCACAAGCTGCCTCAGAAGAAACTGAGAGCCTTGCTCATTGGCAGATGTTTATTGAGTTGCTACTATGTGCCAGGTGCAGGTACTGTAGAGACACAAACTCCTGGTACTGATGTTATTGTGGAAGGAGTCACAGTCAGCAATGTGAGTTGGGGCCTCCTTCCCCACAAATTTCCCCTAAGTGGTCTCCATCAAAGTTAGCTAAGCTGTTATAAAGGGACTTTCTGAGGTCTTAGGGCACTTGTCCTTCTTAATGCTATGGGTTGTTATTTTAATGTGATTTTTGTTTTGTTTTCCTATGAGCCAATCTCTTTTTTATGTTTCTGTTTCTATGAAAAGAATTTTCTCTTACTTTTCCTTGAGGAAATGGATCTGGATTTTTCTTAACTTCTCTGTGCCATATCTCTATTTTTCTAACAAGTCACAAAGAGCAAGAAGGCCAGGGTTGCTCTTCGCCCAGATAGCATTCTATGTGAAATAGAAGTCAGACCTAGCTCCAAACACGTTTGCCTTTATCAAGGTGTTGGGCTTGGAGTATGGAAGACAGAGTTGGGATTTCAGGTCCTACTTGCCCTGTTAAGCAGCTACTCAGTGTTGCATGTTAAGCATCCCATACACCTGCTGATGAATGTGGCAAACTTACAGGTGGTCATCTGGTCAGTGATCTCCTGACTGTTCTAGGTTTCCGCCTGTTAGACTCCCTGCCCCCAAATACAAGTAATTCAGAAAAAATCACTAAAATGCAAAGGTGAGAAATTGACATGTGATTTGTGACAGATAGCTGCTACTTATTTGTCGAAATCCAAATGAATGTGTGGGACAGTTAGTGGGATGGTAGTGTCATGAGTATAAACCATGGTATTTTATGAAGACTGCGATTCTACTGACACGCAACTATATGAATTATTTCATAAAAGGATGGCATGCCTGTCTCATTCAGATGCACTTCTAAAGTATGATATACATAATAAACCCAAGACTTAGAAATTCATTTTCTGTCAAGAAGTATATGTCATTATAATGTTTGTTGTCATGGAAAACTGAGGGATCTTCAAAAAGTTCATTAAAAATGCATATTAGTTCTAAGAACTATGCATAGATTTCAACATTTTTTGCACTGAAATAAACTTTTAAAAGGATTTATCCATTTATATTGGAAAAGCAGATCCACAGAGAGAAGGAGAGAGAGATAATGATCCTCTGTCCACTGGTCCACCCGCCAAGGGGCCACAATGGCCGGAGCTGAGCCAATCTGAAGCCAGGGACCAGGACCTTCTTCCAGGTCTCATGTGTGGGCACAAGGTCCCAAGGCCCTGGGCCATCCTCTACTGCCCTCATAGGCCACAAGCAGGAAGCTGGATGGGAAGCGGAGCAACTGGAACACAAACCAGTGCCCATATGAGATCCTGGTTGTGCTAGGTGAGGATTTAGTCACTAGGCCACTGTGCCAAACCCAAAGTTAACTTTTAATTTTTTTTCATGATTTTTTTGAGGCATTTTGTGTATGGGATTTTTCAGACCTATAAAGTAATCTAAGTAGCTTGACAACTGGATGGATATGATATATTTATCCTGCCTCCTATTTTCTCTCCAGATTTTCCTAAGTGGAGGAAAAACCCATTGCCAAGAGTAAAACTCCTAAGACACATTGTATTAATACACTTCGAACTTGAGAAAGTCAGGTTGGTTTCTTTAAACAAGGAAATAAAAACCATATAGTAATTCTATGTATCCAAAGAATTAGCTGAATTTCTGGACTTCAGTTTCCAGTGGCATAAAATGTTCATACCAGACATGTGAAGGAATATCGTAGGTTATCTTGGTATGTATGTGGATGAGTAGTTTGGTG